AAAGCCAGCTTGCTCAAAGAGTTACAGATGCTCTTGCTAATGTCAGCAAGCAGAAGCTGTTAAATGTCAAACACAAATTTTCACTGCTGGATAAGGACCACTCTGGGCGGATCACTACAGAAGAACTTCGACAAGTGTTCCTCAATTACCAGATATTCATTCTTGGGCCTACGTTGATGGCGCTTGTTAAGAAGTTTGAAGTTGATGGCGGAGGAGTACTTCATGAACCTCTGGCCACATTTTTGCTAGGTCAGTCAAATGTTTGTTTTGTACAAAATTAATTAAAGACAGATTTTTCTTTTGCATAGCTAGCAGAGATCACTATAAACCCTTAGCTACAAAAAAAAAATTTTTTCTCTACTTTGTGTAAAATACCAAACTTAATGTTAAGGTAAGTTGGTAGGTTTAAATCAGCTTAGGGCACAAAGATCAGTAAGAATACGTGTGCAATGAAAATAATGATTTTCTCTTCTACTTTACATTTCCCCAACCTCTGCAGATTGCCATTCATCTACAGTACCGGGATTGCAGGATAAACGGAAATTAAGTGCCGCTGGTTTGTCTAATCCTGTGCGAGTACATACTGGTCAGTCTGGTGTTCAGGGTGATGCTGAGCTGTTGTTGGAGGTTGAAAATCAGTTAATCAAGGATGGAGGAAACTGGGATTACAGTGAATTGAAAACATCATTTCAGCATTGTGACAGAGGAAGAACTGGTTTCATAGGAAACAAAGAGGTGCAGTTACACGTCTTACATGTACACTGTTAGTAGTGCTAAGTCTGTACATACTACAGGGGCACCCCTATAAAGCGGCCGCCTATTAAATGGCCACCCCTATTAGGCGGCCAGCAATCAAAGTCCCAATGATGGCTTTTCTATTGTTTCTACCTCTATTAAGTGGCCAACCCCTTTTAAGTGGCCACAGTCCATTTCCTTGAGGGTGGCCGTTTAATAGGGGTTTGACTGTATACACATTAATAAGTTTGAACTATTTAATTTGTAAAACAGTTAGCTGATCATGACATGCACTACATATAGATTTATAAATAATTTGTAATTGGACCGAGTGGAGTATAATTCAGAGAGTAATATTATTACTGGGCAAGTAATTTCCTAATTTCCAAGAGTGCACAGTACGAGGCCATTTTATTTTAAAAACACAATAACTTTCTCTATTTATAGTACAACAAGAAAAATTAATCATTATCAGTACAACATTTTTGAGATGAAAAACAAATTCCTTTCAGCTAAAATGTGTGCCAAAATGTGGGCAAGTGTTTTCCAAGAGTTTTCCAAGCAGCAGGGATCAAATGAGTGTCCAGTTACCGTTATCCAATTATATCTCATTATAAAAAAGTCGTAATTGTTTACCTGTAGTTTGACACCTTTGTGATCATACACCAATTACAAGACAAATAGGAGTGCAGAGAACCAATCCCAATTGAGAATTTTGGTATAGTTAACCATTAATGTAGAAAGTGGACTGTCATCCTGAAGTCCTGGCTAGAAGCTTGAAAGGCACTTTATATTAGGGAAATTGCAATAGAAAACTGTTTTGCACTTGCAAGCAATTTTTTCTTATGAATCCCAAAACAAAATGTAGTCACAGTAATCAGTTTATTAATAAGGTTTGAACAAAATAACTTTAGGTACAACATTGTTAAAATTATTATTAACTTTGTTTTTATTTATTTTACAGTATCAGACTACATGTAAATTATGTTTTTTTTTTCTTGTTTTGCTGTTCATTTTTTTGAGGTCAGAATTGAGATTCATCATTTTGTATTTATTTGACTCTTCTTTGTTGTAATAATTTACAGTTGAAAATGCTGTGTAAACATCACAATCTTCCTCTCAGCCGATCACTCTTGGAAAAGCTGCTTGGCAGGTTTGATACTGATGGAGATGGATGGGTAAAGTGAGTAGAGTTACAGTCAGCTTATTATTAAAATTGATATTTATTTATAATATATGAATTCTATTTGAAATTTAGTATCGTGTAAAAAGGATAATTATGTACCTGCCATAAGGTTCAACTGTTATCAGCTGTTGTTAATTTGCATCTAGGCTAGTTCCTGAGAATAAATCTTGAACTTGTAAAATTGGAAATTAATGTTATTCAGCAATATTATAGTTTATATCAATTAATACAAATCAATTTATTCATACATTTTGATTGGTTCCCACTTATATATTTCCTATTGGAGGACAGATGAGTAGATTACGTCATTAAGTCAACATTGTTTTGCATTTTTTATGGAATTTATAATTAAAAACAGATAGATTCCATGTTGCCATGCATTTGTACATGTTCAGTAACAGATCACAGATGATGTCAAAATGATGTATTAAGAACATTGGTGACACACCTGCCTAACATCTCATGTTACACTTTTTTGTTCTTACCACGCAGCAACATGGGATCTATTTGTTAAATAATTCCAAACCATGGTTGAAACAATAATGCGTGTAGTGTCCTTGAGCCTAGTACAACTTTAAATTGGAAATGTTTAGTATTTTAGCACAGACCACAAAAAAATTTCCCCTCAGAACAAATTGAATTATAATTCTACTGTGATTCATTGCTGAATATTTGAGGGCTATTCATCTGAAGTTTTTACACAAAATATACATGCATATCCATGGAATTCTTGTATTGTTTAACTTAGTTGCTATAAAAGAAAATTTTCATCTTTCATTGTAGCTGGAGAGATTTTTCAAGATTCATTGAAAAAGCTATGTCTGTAGTTGCTCTTGGGAATTCTTTGAGATCAGAAGAGAAGGCTGCAGCATCAAATAGAAACTACAGCAGAACTGGTGCAGCTGTCAAAAAACACCACAGCAACTTGACAGCGAGCACAGAAACACAGACCAGCTCAGGTGTGGTAAATACAGTATAATATGCTATTCATTCTACTTTATTAATTTGGCCTGATTGGCATAACTGGTGTTGATTAACATGAGTGTAAGACTAGTGCATGCATGCCTCAAGCATGTGTCACATACAGGGGTTTCATTTATTTAACATTTTCAGCAACTGGTCAGGCAACGTGGCAAAACATTGAACTGAACCTATTTATAAGAAGAACTTTCCTCTAGATGGTCAAACCAGGGAGGCAAAATCGTCCTTGTTGCTGGTCAATTTGCCTGGTGCACAGACCCTATTAAAACCAGCCTGCACGTGACATTCTGCACTTGAGGGTTGAAGTTATCATTAGTCATGTCTTCCAAAGAACTTCAACCACTAAGGATTCATTCATGTGTTGTTACTATGGGCAAATGTTTGACCAGGAGCAACTTGTTTGTATTGTTTAATAGTATCCCGCTCAGGGAGGAGGTGTAATTATATCACACTGTACTTCTAGTTGCGGTCCATATTTATTTAGTTGTTGTGAAATAAAGCAATTTACCCTGCACTGGGATAATGTTAAAAAGTCTTTCCTGATGTTGATCAGTAAAGAATAATTACCAATAATTTAACAATGGTTAAAACTTTGTCTCTATCAACTGCATCCTTTTTTGTCAAGTTAAACACTTCAGTCTTAATTATAAGAAGCTCTGCGTAATAACGTTCTATGTAACAGGATTGGGAATTCTTTGCTGCTATGTTAACTAGTGGGTTGATAGGGATTAATGCTACTGGCCAGTTTGTTAAATTGTGATGATCATGAAAAAATGAAATTTGTTTCATAAGTAAGCTGTGTTCAGTGTTTACGAGTAAGGTGAACTCTATTACAGTAATCATCGCTGTATGTGTTGGACTTATGATTGTCAAATTCTCTCTTAAATTAAATTAACAATACCAAGTTTTGGCAATATGTTGATGTGTGAGGCTACATAAAATAAATTCCATATCAGGTGCATTTAAGAAAATAAAACTGTAACATTCTCGTAAATAAAGTAATGNAGCTCTGCGTAATAACGTTCTATGTAACAGGATTGGGAATTCTTTGCTGCTATGTTAACTAGTGGGTTGATAGGGATTAATGCTACTGGCCAGTTTGTTAAATTATGATGATCATGAGAAAATGAAATTTATTTCATAAGTAAGCTGTGTTCAGTGTTTACGAGTAGGGTGAACTCTATTACAGTAATCATCGCTGTATGTGTTGCACTTATGATTGTCAAATTCTCTCTTAAATTAAATTAACAATCCCAAGTTTTGGCAATATGTTGATGTGTGAGGCTGCATAAAATAAATTCCATATCAGGTGCATTTAAGAAAATAAAACTGTAACATTCTCGTAAATAAAGTAATGTAAACTGCTTGCAATCTTTAAATATACAGATGGCAATAAATATGCCTCTTTAAGAAGACAGTCACTAAAACACAGTGAAAGTGATTTTCAAAAGTCAGTATGGCCAGAGGATAAAGGTATCGTAACGATCATATAAAAAAATGTAAAATAAAGGGCTTTACTATGCCTTTCCATAAACTTTTGTGTGTATGCTCAGATTGCTAAGTAAAGAAGTAAAATAATTTGGACAATTACTAAGTAAAATGAATTTTCGTTTAAATTTTGAGACGGACTTTTGTTTCCAAAAAATTGGTAAATTACTATTATTCATCAGAACAGTTAAATAAGACATTAAGAAATAGAATTAAGAGTTGTCAACAAAGTGTACATAGCCCAAGTGAATCGAAATAAAATTTGTGATGCAGCACGACATGGAATTAAGCAACCTTTAGGATTTTTTAACACGATTCTTGCCTTTGCCTAGAGCCTGACCCAGTGAAGCTCACGCTACGAGGCCGTAATATATATTTGTACCCACCTGATGGGTACCTTGATATGGACACATCACCCCACCCCCCTGAGGAAAAACTGCAGTTGGAGTGGGTGTAAGTAATGCTATTGTTTGGTTTATTCTTCTGGCCCCAGTTATTTGAAAGCCGATTAAGCTAACCCAGAATTAGCAAGAATTTTGATTTCAATTTTGTAACTTTACAATAAGGTTTACTGTTTATATTGTTTGTCCTTCTCTTTAGAGTTTGAATAATCTCAAACTACACAGAACATAAGCAGCCAAAAACATTTTATTCAAGAAAAATTATTACTACGGTTAACTTTTAATCCTGGGTTAGCGTTAACCGGCTTTCGAACAATCCGGCCCTGGGGCCCGTTTCTCGAAAGCCCCGGAATCTTTTCGGGCCCGAAAAGCCATTTTTAGTTAATCGGTATTTGAAGACATAGAGGTGTATACGCCTGAAACTTCTTGTGTGAAGAGAACCTCTGTTCGTATTAAGAATATATGATTATAATATAGATAGGACCCTGCACGCGCTCTGATTGGTCAAAAACCCATGTTTTATCAGGGTTTAAAACATAGAAAAAGCGTGTTTTATTGTTTTTGCCACATTACCTCTATATCATAAAGCAAATGAAGAAGCCTAAGCCGTATCTCAAATACCCGTCGTGTCTTTTCACAGTATAATACACGGCTTAGGCTTCTTTATTTGTTAAATAAAACAGTTCTGTAGTCAAAAGGTTTGAGATTCTGCTACGGCTTTTCGGGTGCGAAAACTTTTCGGAACCTTCGAGAAACAGGCCCCAGGGGCCCGGAAACTTTTCGGGCCCGCAAAGCCATTTTTAGTTCATCTTTATCTAAAAACGGAGAAGTGTATATGCCTGAAACTTCTTGTATGAAGAGAACCTCTGTACATATTAGAAATACGTGAATAAAACAGCTCTGTAATCAAAAGGTTTTAGATTTTACTACGGCTTTCCGGGTGCGAAAACTTTTCGGGAACTTCGAGAAACGGGGCCCCTGGAGTACATTTACACTTTATCTTAACTTTTTGCGCTGTCCAGTCAAGACGGTGTTGATCCATCTCTTAGACACAGCTAGCTAGGACAAAAATACATAGTCAGTTTTTGCAAACGATGACTATGGGGCACTTTCAGTCTTCCTCCGTTTCGTGTTACAAACAACTTATGATTTAAATTAATAAGGAGGTGTCGCACTCATTATTGAAGGAGATGGAAAACTGGGCCTATGGATATTCCTTAGCCACAGTGTGTGATTTCAAATAAGTACTCCCGAAATAATTGCCCATTTCCCAGTTACCTTGTGCCTCTGTTTTAAACCTTTCCAGAGGTCATGTGATTTTTTCATTATAAATACACTGAAGTGTAAAGGGCCATGTTATCTTGAACAACTAGCAAATGAAGGCGAATACACGGCTGGAACTCATGTGTAGCTCATATCAAAGTGGAACTTTTCTAGTGGATGAAATTGAAATACACGCACTACTTCTACGAAATAAGATTGCAGACATACAAGATGAATTTACTCGAGAAATGAATCACTTCGTGTATGAAGAAGCGAGGCACTGTTGTGAAGGATGTGAAATGGATGACCTTAGTCAGATACATTAGAATTGTATGATGAAGGAGCAGGAAGAAATATGGATCTGTCACTATGAGGAAGCAAAAAAAAATTAAACGTTGATAAACTGTGATCAGCGATAGAAGAACAAATACACAAGAAATTAGATGTTTATCTGGAGGACTCATGGTTGGAGTATTTACTTTACCTTCTCAACATGGATGAGACAAGTTTATATTTAGTGAAAAAAAAACTTTGAACGAAAGCAAGATGAGAATCAAGACGAATGGAGTACGAGTGAAATCAAGTTATTGATATTAACAACTGAATATTGTTTTTGTACTATTTCAAAAAGGAGTGCGAGGGTTTCATCAGGTTTCCAAACGCGAGAAACAATTGAAACCACGAGGCCGCAGGCCGAGTAGTTTTATTGTTTTCGAACGTTTGGAAACCTGATGAAACCCGAAGCACGAGTTTTTGAAATTACTTCTCTAACAAAGAAAAGTGGTTTAAATTATCATTTGAATAAGTTTTCTCAATTCAAATATTATATTTGAGACGTGAAATGTGATTCTATAACCTAATTGCTGCTCTGTGGCAATTTTTGAGTATTCATCATTGTCACGTTGTTACCTAGCTGTTTGTCAGTTCTGAGCGAACACGTTGCTTCGCAAAGCAAATGGCAGAGTGCAGATTTAGACCTCCTAAAACTCGCGAAGAAGAGGAAAAGTGTGTGGCCAGCGCTATTCCGAGGTAACGTATGCGTCTAGTCTCTTAAATGCAGGTGAAGATAGTAAATTAGTACGCCTTAGAACTGGGAATTTCTAACGTTAGTGCCATTTTAGGTCGGAATTGTACAGCAAGGTTGAAAGGGAATCAAGACACGAGGTCGCCACCATTGAGCGAGAATTGAAATTTAGAAAAAGAATGGCCCTTTCTGTTTTGGGGAGTTTAATGACTGTACCGTTACATTTGACGTCAGCAGTAAATAATTTAGGTTTAAAGTTTGTTTTGTAAAATGTGTGATAAAATAAAGTTGTTTATCGTCATGTGTTTGTCTTGCTTTATCAATATGCAGATTAAGAAAATTTGCATCCGTGTTTGAAATTATTTCCAAACACGCCGTGGTTTTCAACTCGTTTTTCATTGGGTTTCTAAACCCATCCACCTGACCAGAATAAGATGCTCTGGTTGGGTAAGAGCTGCATGAATGATTAATGAGCTTGAGAAAATAAAGTTCATTATGCGAAATGATGTCCTGTCATTGTGCTATTCAAATTCTTTTTCGTCGTTCAAACGTATCAGCTCTGCACAGCATTGAGAACGAAGAAATGATGAACATTTTCTTTGCTTAGATGGATCACATCTTCAGAAACCATATGCTCCTCGCTTCTAGGGATAAGTCTTTTTTTTTTTTACCCGAGAAATTGATATTGTGAGGGTAGGACTTACAATTCGTTTACGTACAGGGACTACTCCGTTGTAGTTGAGCCACGTCGGTGATGTAATTTGAACAGACCTAACTACGCGGGCTTTGCAATACTGAAGCAGTCTTACGTGCAGATGTTTGATTTCTACTACAACCCCGTCGAGGCAAAGTATGGATCTCGAGCAAACTACTTTTCAGTGACACCGACCCTCTGTGTTTAGAAATCAAGGAGTATGGATATTTACGTGGACATGGCAAGCGAGTCGCATTTGTTTGACTTCTCCTAATGCCCCAGAGACCAGTTCCTCTTCAGCAACGAAAATTAAAATGTGATCGGGAAGTTTAAAGACGAGACGCGTGGCATTGAAGAATTTGCCGGCCTGCCACCCAAGATGGACAAGTTGAAAAATAGTCATTACTCTACAGTCAACAACAAAACGGTAGAGAAAAAAATTGACTAATGAAACTGCAAAACATGCATGTCATCAAACAAAGATCAGGCACGAACACTGTAAACGATGTATATTTCGTCGAGAACAACAGATGGTATTAATGAAGCAACTTCAATCATTTCAGCATAATATCTTTTCCATCAAACTCAGCAAGATTGGCTTGAGTCCCTTCGACAACAAGCGATGCACTTTGGGCAATGGTTGTGAGACGTTAGCTTATGGACATTGCACTTTGAGAAAAGCTAACTTAGATCAACGTGGCCAGGAACTTATTGAATTATTAGTGGATTTGTAAATAACTTTATATTAGTTAAGGTCCCACTAGTTGAAACAGCTCTCTTTCCTTACTTTCTCTCGATTTCGCTGTTAACTCAGTGAATTGGATCACTCGTTTCACTTCTTATTACTCATTTCTAGACATTGTGTTGGTTATGTAAGGAGAGACTAGATGTGGATCGCTCTTGCGCGACTTTTATGTAATCCCTTGTAATTAAGAACAGTGTAAATAAAACAGTGGAAATGAAAAACAATGGCTGCATTACTGTGTGTTCACCTACAAAAGATTCTCTCCAACTTCCATTCTTAGAGGAAATGTTATTGAACTTTTTTTTTTTTCTGATTGTATTTTTAGTACCTTTGTCAGAAATTAACAAAATGTATTTCTGGAGTCCTAGTTTTTGAAAAACTCACTCGTGCAAATTAATTCCAAATTGAACTCGAAACCGTATGATTACCTATACAATTCAGTTCAGCGCATAATTGTTCCATTACTGGATCTGAGAATGTATATAATTGTTCAAGAATTGTTAATTTCCGTCCTTGAAAAACACGAATATTATGTGTTTTTAGTTTGGGCCTTTTTACGCATCTTGAAATTAAGACACTGCGTGTTCTACAGTTCGATTAGTGAAAATTACACTTGATTTGGGAATTATTCTCAGGCTTCATCGAAAACAAAGACGTGAACAGTAGGTAATTCCCATGGGTTATTTTCAGAGTTAAAAATTTACACTTACATGCAAGAACTCTGCAGAGTTTCTTAGTTGGCCTCAGTTCTTTTTCTCCGTTTTCTTCCAGTCTATGAGAATTTAAATTTGCATGAAACGGAACCTGTTGTTGGAATACATTTTCGTATGAATGGTTTTGCACGAAGACTCGTTTGGACAAAAAGACAAAAGGCAACTCGAAAATGGTCTATTGTATGCACAATGATGTATTGGTATGTAACTTCATGTATGCCTTGCATAAGTGTGACGACCACTCAACTCTCACAAGCCGGCGACTTTTATTGCGTGCAAAAAAACGAACTGGTTCAGATTCTATAAAAAGAAGATTACTTCTTTTACTGGCAGTGAACATGATTTGTTATTTCGCATTTTTTTCTCCAGGTATGGTTACCGCGGACGAGACTGTCGTAATAATCTCTATGTGCTTAGTTCAGGGGAGCTCATTTACTTCACGGCTGCAGTGGTCGTGTTATATGACGTGGCAAGTCACAAACAGCGCCATTACACTGAACACACAGATGACATAAAGAGGTAATGTGTTTAGTACTTATGCTGGGAGGCCTTAGAACTGTTTTCAATTAATTGTCGAAAGTAATCAGGCAATTAGTTTGGTTTTGCTTTTACTTGTACCACGGTTTGAGATTGGCTGAGTAGTCTAATTGATATAAAGTAATTGGTTTGGTTTTGGTTTTGCGACACTCAAGTGAAAACCGCTCTATCTTGGAGTTCGCTTGCGTCCCTCTTAGTTAATATATAACAGGGTTCAAATTTATCGCTTTCGACCATTTTCGAAAATATGAAAAAATCTATAATTTTGAAATTTTGAAATGCTTGCTCCATGCACCATTGAATTTCTCTCTTTTGAGCTCTACGTTATGATAAAGATGGGAACATTTTGAAGCATTCCTGATACAACGAACTGTATTATCCAGCCACACAAAAGCTTCAGAAACAATTATGTATTAGAGGATTTTTTGCGAAAACGTCCTCAAGCCCTGTAGAAAATTTTCTACCAGTAAGCTATCTTCATGAAGTGAGTCAGTGTAATGAGTTTCTTTCAGCGGTAGCAGCGAAAAACAATTGGGATCAAAAGAACTCTGACTATTGACAGTATCAATAACGTCTTTTCATTGCAGTTTGTGTGTTCACCCCGATGGTGTTACAGTAGCGTCAGGACAAGTCAAGGGGCACGGAAATGATGCAAAGGTTAGTATAGGCCAGATTTGGTAAAATTTCAAATTCTCCCTACTGGTGTCCACAATTTCTCAATAAATAGTCCGTTCTTATTATAACGTCACTTGTGCAAAGGTTTCTGGTAGTTGCAGTAAAGAATTTTGGTAGCTGTAGTTATCGCAGGAAATATAAAACGTGATCACGATGGGCAAAAAAAATTATTTCGGTGAAAAAGTCTTATTAAAACCTCTTGAGAGTATTCTGTTTTTTTTTTTTTCAGAAATGCCAAGCGGAATTTTGAGGCTTATTCATACTGTACAACATTCTCGACAGTTGGTTCTAGTTTATGACCTTTATATGGATTCCGTAGCAATGCTGCATGTTCGGAAAATTCGTTAAGTCCAAACCAAAATAATTTCTGCAATGGCGCGACGTTTCTAAATAAAGATAGAATACTCTCAATAGGTCGAAATGATTTTTACGTTTTTATTTCTCCGTTTTCTCCTTAGTTTTAGTTTCGATTGAGTAGATATCAAACACTCAAGACAGTGATTGACCATTTTTCCAAACACCTCGAAGTTCGTCTAAAGTACTCCGCTACGCTACGGTTCATTTCTCGGGGTTTGGAAATGTGGTCAAGCACGGTCTTTCGTGTTTGTTACATAATATTATTTATAAACCTAAACTTCTTCAATCTTGTTCTAACTCTTTTTGTTTACCATCATGACAGCCACATATTAGAGTGTGGAATTCCAGCTCTTTAGAGACCATTTGTGTGATTGGTGTGGATTATTTTGAAGATGCAGTCTTCGCGCTGGCGTTCTCTAACAAGGTGAATAACACATCAGCTAATTAGCATAAATTGTTATTTGTTATCCGCCGGTAAAAAGCACTTTTACAAGAAATTCAAACCTCAATTAAGTTTTAATCCTGGTTTAGCGCTGGTTGGCTGTGGAGTAAACGGTGGGCTCGTGGTGGAAATTGAAGCTTTTGGACAGTCCATGTACATTATTATTAGCTATTATTTACCCACGAAACGCGGAAGAGCTCGGATGAACTCGCTATAGAGTATTCGTTCATCGAGATATTACTAGAATTGGGAATGAGGGTTTTATGTGGAGGGAGGAAAGCTGGATAACCCGGCGAAACATCCTTAGAGCAAGATCAAGAACCAACGACAAACACAAACCTTTTTTACTGTATGACGCCAGGTCTGGGATTCGACTGAACCCGAGCCACATGGTCTGGAGGCAAGCGCTCTCGCCACTGTGCCATTCGTGCTCTCCTAGTGTCAACATACGCTTAAGCGTCGTATGATGGGCTCACGCGGTGCCTCTAGTAACGCTGTATTTTCTGTTTGTTTTCATCAGAGAAGCCAGGGAGAATATCTTGCATCAGTTGAGGACAATGAATATCACACCGTGACAGTGTGGGACTGGGCACGAAAGAAAAAAATCACCTCGGCCAGGGTACGATCTATCGACTGATTCGTGCATGCTTCAAACAATTTATTTTTTAAACTGGGGGATATAGTTAGGGAAATATACTTGCATACACTATATGTAGAATGGCTGGCTATTGCGTTATGTAACGTGTATAGACTAATCATGTCTGAATGAGAGGAGTGTCAATAGATAACAAACCAAGATTTTTTTTCTAATGTGACATACGTGTTAATGCTGATTTGCTATTCGTTGTTAGGGTAACATGAATCAAGTTTTGGCGGTGAGCTTCTCGCCGTTCGATAGCCGTCAGTTCGTCACGTGCGGTAAACAACATCAAGTGACATTTTGGGAATTAGAAGATAACAAACTCAAGCAGTCAAGGGGAAGAATGAGTGTAAGTTAAAGGCGTTTTTCTCTCTCGAAGTCTAAACCGGTGACGGAACTCTGGCTCTCAGCGAATTACTACCTCCATTAAGTAAGGATCCTAAGAATCTATGTATCGATGCCAGGTTTACCTCCGCTTTCTGTAGCGCTCCCAGGAAATTATATCGCAAGCCAACCCCGGCACTCTTTCAGCTTGCCCTAATATTTTATCAGTGCGCATCTCTATTGCTGGGTGGAGGAGGCACTGTGAAAGTTTTCAAAGGTGACTCGCTAAAGATCAGAACACTGACTCTGGCCAGCGCTCGAACCAGGACCACTCGATCCGGAGTCCTGTACGCCGCCATTGTATGCCACGTTTAAAATTTCCATTTTGCTTTAATAGTTCTCGTTTTAACCCTTTCCTATTCTGATCTAACAGAAAAACCACAGACCGAAGTATGTGTCGTGCATCGCATTCTCTTCAAATGGCGATGTAATCACTGGGGATACTGATGGCGCCATATGTGTTTGGCCAGAAGGTTTGTGTCCCAATTCCAGTTCTAAAGCCTTACTGAGCCTTGAGAGCGCGACTTTGTCAAAGAATGTCGTAAATTTGTTGACTCACGACAAACGCAAATGAAGAAACACGCAAGTTCTCTAAGCTAATCACTGGCTCAAAGAGTTCTAGAAAGACCACTGACAAAATGCTATTTTCGCAAGAGCAATTGTTATTTGTTATTATTTGTTATAACAACAACAACAACAATCTTTATTTCGTGCCCAGAAAAATAAACGATTTTAAAATGAAAGTGGTTTTCTGAAGTCGATAAGAGGACTCACGGTATCAATGACAATCTTATTTTGTTTCATCACGTTTATCCTAACCTATGTTTACTTAACAATGTAACATGTTAAAGCAATTGGGCAGAAAATGTACTATCGTGTACCATTACGTGTCATTGCTTATCAAGTCATAATCTTTGAAAGCTTGTAGTTTTGAAACGTCTCTACTGGCTTCATAGTTCCTCATCTTACTAACAAATCTTTCAACAGAATCCAATCAAGTTGCTGAAGAGCTTGGGGTTAGGAACGCTCATGCAGTAAGTATGGGTCTTATTTTATCGATATTTTCCTAAGAACAGAGATCAGTGAAATTGAAGAACTAACACTACACTTGTTACTAGGGCTCAGTCTACGCTCTTCTTGTTCTACCAAACGGTGCGATACTCTCAGGGGGAGGTGGTGAGTCAACAGTGAGAGCCTGGAGTAGAGGACCGAAGTTAGTTCCCACAAACGTCGAGCTAAAGGTAAATGTAAAACAGCAACTGGTTATAAGCTACTTCGCTGAAACATGGGCTTAACGCGCCATGAATATGTAGTCTAAAGGGACGGTAAATCTACATGTACATGTCTTTCCAGGCTGGTTATTAACTCCGGTTTCTTATCATAAAACAAATACGAGTATTTCTGCTCTTTACAAATTTTAAAGAGCGCCTTGATTGATTATCTATTTTCATCGTAGATGCCGAGGGATGTGAGTGGAGTGCGATCTCTAGCTTTAGGGACTGTAGATCATCAGCAGCTTTATATTGGTACAGTCGATAACAACATCTGGTGTACATCACTTAACGCGGGCTCAGAGTCGCCTCTCGTGGGGGCTGGTGCCAAGCTTGTCAAGATTATGGAGGTTAGTGATCCATCACAAGAAGTTTGTAGTGGTAATCTTTATACAGTAATGGCTGACTATCGTGCACTGTATCAAAGTTGACAAGTGTGAAGATCTCGCTCTCTTTCCTTTTTTCCACCAGAATAAACGCACATGATTTGTTCCATGTATTCCTCTCATATCCTATCTTGCCTATCAGTGGGATTTTGCTGCGTTCTTTTGGTGAAAACGGTCCCAAAATTCTAACTACTTTCGCTCATATACGAAATGCACCTAGAAAACCAAGAGGAAGGTATTTTAGGAGATAATTCTTGTTAGTAGAGCTAATTGTCTTTCAGTGATTTTCCAAGACAAGGTTTCAAGTTTGAAAAGTCTGCGCGACCTTCTCAATTTGAGATCACAACCTCTGGCTCGAGCCTACGCAGTTCATGATAGCACCCCTTCACTAACTTCAGTGCTCTAGTATGCAAATAACCGTTATACAAAACTGTACCATTTCTCAGATTTCCATTGATGCAACTGTCTTTTGGCTAAATTTGACCTTTCGAATTCACACTCACAGTGTTGCCCTTTGTTTTACATGCATGTTTTATTTTAGAATTTACGTTTCACTCGAGACTACTGTACACTACCAGAACACTGAATCAGTTGTCAGTTGAAAGTTTCGCTGATTTTTAATGTGACGCTAAATCACGTTTTGTAGGGTCATTGTCAAGATCTAAGAGGACTTGCAGCTCATCCCAGTACTCCCGTGTTTGCCACGGCCGGAAATGATAAGATAGTTCGATTGTGGAATGCCGCTGACCGACGTGTCGTGTGGACGAATAATAAGTTGGTAAGTCCATTTCACATAAACTTCACTTCTGTTGCAATTTCTGTGTGATTTCGTATTTTCCAACAAGCTCTTCGTCAACTATCACCCGAAACAAACCTCAAGATCACAGTGCAGACGTATTATTAGGGAGCGCAAGGCACTGGCATTATGAGCTCGCGCTCGTTCACCGAGCCGCCATGTTTGATTCAGGGTGGGCCGGGATGGGATAGCGTGAGAGAAAAGATTATCAGACAGTGAGAGAGAGAGAGCAATCTCAGGCTACACTTGCATCTAAGCCTGTCGACGGACTGGATTTATTTGAACTCGTCTATTAAAATATGCTACAATACACTTTACTGACTAATGGACCCTTGAATTGGAGTTTTTCTGTCATGTTGCAGGCATCAGCTCTGCAGGCGGCTGCTTTTCATCCTGATGGTAGCTCTGTGGCTGTTGGATTCAAAAAAGGAGGGTAAGAATCAAAGTACTCAGTAACTAAACTATAGGTAAAAGCCAAGTGGTCTATACAGCTGGAGCTTATCCCGATTTCTGTGGCACCAAGCGACTAAGAGTATTCTACTCCCCCTGGATGGGGTGCTAGTAAACTGGAGTTGAATTGGGTTACCCCCGCCATTAAATTCACCGTTACCTATTTAGACACCTTGGTGGAGGGAAGAACTGTGGGAGTTGTGTCTTGCCCAAGAACATAACACAATGGCCCCGGCCAGGGCTCAAACTGAGATCACTCGATCCGGAATCCACCGCACCTCTACTGACTAAACTATTGTAAACTTTAAAAGGGATTGATGAACGTTCGTACAAGATTGATGAAAATGATATCCAGATGGTGCAGTAAGCAAAGTAACGCCACCGTTGATGCAGGTTAATTTCTTTCCTTTCAGGTGGATGCTGTTAAATGCAACGACTGGAGAGGCTATTCTTGTGCGAAAATCTGAACCTCCGGAGACAATATCAGAAATTCAATTCTCCCCAGGTAAACGGCCTATTGTCACTAAGCGATTCAATGTGTGAGCTTTTGTGTAGCTGAAACAGACCTAGTATACGTTTCCGTGTTTTGTTTCTAGATGGAAGTCACATAGCTCTTGGCTGCCACGACAACGATGTATACATATATGAACTACAAAATGGAGGAAAGTCGGTTTCTCTTAAAGCTCGTTGCAAGGTAATGCAGTAACCCATGTTTCCGTTAGTTGGTGTTGCTTTGTCCTTGTTTTGGAGATAAGATGCACATCCATAATTTTGTTCTAAATCGTTGGGTTTTGCAGATTGATAGTTCTGCATATTGTTTTGAAACTTGGTCATTGCAAGTCTTAAATAGCGTGTGTAGCTCTTAATTTTCCGTTGTTTTCGCAGGGTCACACGAGTTCTGTGAGTCACTTAGACTGGTCCAAGGATGGAGAAAAACTTCAAAGCACATCTAGAGACTACGAATTACTATTCTGTAAGAGTCGTGTCTTGTTAACTTTACATATTGCCACAGAACATAGCAAAGATACTTCAGCGGTAGTGGAAACAAATAAACCGTTAACGAGTTGTACAAATGCTCGTAGAAAGAACACGCCAAGAAATTTTCATTATCATTATCCATTTTGTAGCAGTTGTCAGTGCTCTAGTAAGGTTGTTTTATAGTGCTGATATTTGGGTCACGAGTCAAGAGGATATCGCTGCAAATGAAGAGACTCTAAAACAGTGTAAGGTAATCTAAAGGCTCGGCCTGATAACGACGAAAATGGCCGTACAGGAACTGTAAATTCGCAGTGAAACAGCAAACACATAAAGACGTAACAAACTGACACGATTAAAGCAATGTTCAGACTGTGAGAAGAAATTCAATTAACTATCCTTTTCATACGCAGGGAACCCCTTGCAGGGAGAACAGATAACCCAGGCAGAGAGCATGCGCAATACGGAGTGGGCCACACACAATTGTGTGTTGGGTTACCCTGTTATTGGTGAGTAGCATGTCAATACTAGCCTAGTGATTGACCAAAGTATATACATCACTCGACGACTGCAATATTATTATCAAGATTAGCCCAGTGACTCGGCGGAACAACTTTAGTTTCAGTTGCATTCGGATTCTTGTCCGTGAAAACTGTTTGAACCTGTGGTTTTAGCTCAGTACGTGTCTCTGAATCGACCAGCTCACGAGATAACGTCTTGGGTGGCCCTGTTGTTTCTAATTGGTAAAAAATGATCGGCCGAAATCGAGCGTAGAACGTAAGGAGGATTTGTCCCTCACGGCTCGTCACAGAAGAAAAGCGAGGATTTTATTCGTTCATTGCCGTTTTGCAAACCCATCTTTCTCTCTCTTTTCTCTCTCAGGAATCTGGCCAGATGGAGCAGACGGAACAGATGTGAACTCTGTGGACCGCGCGAAAGGAAAACAGTTAGTTGCAACGGGTGATGACTTCGGCAACGTAAATCTGTACAGATATCCCTGTGTCAGTGAAAAGGTGCGTAGTTACTTACGCTTATTCTCCTATTTTGTTCGTTGTCAAGTCTTCTTACCGCTGTCTGTTGGTTAGGTGGAAAAACCATGTAGACTGTATAGAACCTATAGACATTTAATATAGACTACCAGGCCGGGCGAACATGCAGGGCCTCAAAAAAGCCGATTGTAAGACTGGTCTTCCTTTGTGCTCAAATCTGACATATGCCTTCTGAGAGTCACTTTATTTTTACGTGACTGACTGATTGCCACCAATTTTTGAAACTAAACGATGGCCAAATGAATCTGTACTCTTTGCCCGTGATCCAATTTGTAGATCACTGTGGTCCGCAGCTCTGCTAACAAGTTTGATATTTAATTTGTTTGTTTGCTTGCTTGTTTTCAGGCCGAGCCCAAAATTGTGCAGGGTCACAGTGCGCATGTCATGAATGTACGGTTCCTTTCCGATGACACCCGACTCATCTCCGTAGGCGGTCGGGATGCGAGTACCATGCAATGGAAAATCGTGAATTCCGCGTAATCAGGATCGTGGTACCGCGCAAATCACGGTCATTTAAGACAATAAAGCTGCTGTATAAAGTATTTTTAATCAATTAATGTCAAAGGGAGTGTGTTATGACTCACACGAAATACGTAAAATTCCCGTTCATGAAAAAGTAGTATTCTCCTTTTAAATCGGCAATATGAAATATATTTTGTCTGGGGACTCTTTAGCAAGGTTTTTCGCTGTCTGATAGTTCACGCAGTCTCAAATGTAAGGTATGCCCCAGGGACGGGCGATCAAGTAGCTGTTCCGGGAATTCGTTTCTGGAGAACGTTACGCTTCATTAGAACACTGGGTTCGAGAAGCCTCGTGCTGAGGTCTATTGTTTTAGGCTGAATTTTAATATATCGAAATTGGTCTATTGGTGGTATGCTGAGGGAGAAGATCATAGAGGCTTGAACTGCTTATTGCGAGATATCGCCCTCATCAGCCGTTGACAGGAACTATTGTAGTTTCGGCCGTTAGTGACAGACGAACTAGTGTCTATTATTAACATTTTGCGCCTTCGCAGTACACAGTATATCGTACTAAAATAACAGTGGGGCAAATGTTAGAGGTAGTTCCTTGCGTGAGAGGCTATTTTTACGTTTCGTTCATAATCCTCTAGCTTGTACTCACACAACAAAACAATTGTACAGACACACTGGTATGTCCAGTTTGTATACATCCACAATAAAATCGTAATTCAATGTTCCATGTGAGGGTTTTATTGTGTTAAGTTTCTTTAATATCATCAAATATAAAAAAGGGTATAGCTCATGAAGATAGAAATCTATAACCTGATGGGCATAAAAGCAATCATGTTCAAACGATTGTTTGTAAGTTGTCTTTCCCGTTACGAGCCAAAATAGCTTCAAAATGAAGGCTGGAATAACCAGCGTGTGTAAGGGAGCAGGATTTTAAAAGAAATGGGTTGATGGCGTGGTTACAGTATTGTTACCATGTATCGGATCTAGATACATTAGGCGCTCTTGGTTCAGAGTCGCCATCCCACAGCACTCACCGAGTAAGGTGAAAAAAGCTCAAAAGCTTACGCGTTCAATTAGTATAGATTTTGCTCAACCAGAGTTGGAGTTCACCCCTGAAAACTTCACCATTTTGCTACGAGTCGAAGAAAAACACGTCAAAAAAACTGCCCACTGACAAAGATAACGTTGCTGCGCGTATGGAATCTAACATCCTTGGCAAATGTAGTAACGCCTACAATACCGATACTGGTCTTGATATCAACGTCCCATACAAATGTTTTTATAGGTGCACTCGCCTATTTTAATGTTTAACTCTTTCATAGAGATTATGCCGGCTCGACACATCTTCCGTGGTCATTGCTATTGTTCGACGACATCGGCCTTTTTTGTGAGAAAAACAAAGGGTTGAAAGAGCCTACGCTTAGCTGATCAACCGAGCGCGAGATTTGAAATTGTCTTAGGACCGATTTACAGGGTACGACTTTGACGCATGCGACAAACTTACGACAGGCCTACGACATAACTTAGGACCATTTACACGCGCACGACATTTTCACTCACAAAACTTAATATGCAAAGGTTTGCACCGGGATTTACGGAGCTAAAGTTCTAAAAAACGGTAAACAAATATTTTAGCTGTCCTGCGCTTTGAAAAACCTTTCTAACGAGATGTTTTTCGCTTTAATCCGTTCAGTACTTTTCGAGA